AACAGAACTCGCTACTAGTCGGGTTAGAACAACTGGGCTATAACACTTGAAGTAAATAAACTCGCCAACATTGAACTGGTCCAGACTAACTGCGGTAACAGCGCGAGGCAATCAAAAGCCATTCAAGAAGGCCGGTTAAAGCAAGCACCTTTCTCCCGACCAAATCGGGTACCGCAGTCTACAATTTACTGCCTACATTTCACCGGCGGCGAAGGGCAGACTGCTTCAAAAACTGGCAAGAAACCGTATACAGGCAACGCGCAAACGTTTGGTACTTGTTTTCTGCCCCCCCTCCCCCAGGTAAGGTTAGTTTAGAACTCATCAGATCCACAGCCATATGCCGTCGGGCGTACAAGCACTCCACCAGACGTCATTGAAGTTGGCTGGATGCCGAATGATCACAAACACATCAACTAGGAATACATTTCGTGAAACCCTTCTGACAGCCAAATTTTCACAGAATTTCGAACACTTGCCACCAAATGGAGCCTATGTTAAGATGGTCCCAAATTGTGTGGTTACGTGAAATGGTTTAACGTGAAATTGATAAAGGATTTAACCTCAAGAAAATATCACCAACAGTAAAAAAAATAAGAATGAAAAAATTGGAAAGGATACGTGGAATTGAGCCGAGCTGAGCGACTGCATGGAATATGGAACCCCAGCCGGCCTGAAAAGGAGCTATGTACATGTAGATAAAACAGAGTTTGTCCCAGAGCTCAGAGATCTGCAAAAAAGGAGAGGGAAAGAGATGAGGGCTGGAGCCAAACTGTCAGGAGGTCGGTGATAAATTGAGGTCAGACAAAGATCATAATTGGTGGCTAACCTTTGAAATGAATATTGAAACGAAGAAGTAATCGATCGGCAGAGTTTCACTGAGTCCAGGAAAATCACAGGTGAAAAGCACATGCGCAAAGAAGAGATTGAGGAACACGCGCTGGGCGCCACTGAACCCATTACGGAGCATCTTCATCGACACAATCAGCAAAATAATAGAAGCCCAGCTGGAGTGAAGTAAAAAAAAACAGAAGATATACATACAGTAGCCGCCGAAGACCATGCAACGGTAATTATGAAATTTGGCTA